ACTACTAATTTTTACTCAATACTTTTACTTTTAATACTTAAGGACATTTTATGTCAAAAAATGTATAAAAAAATCAGATACTTTGACTTTTACTCTAGTAATATTCATAGAGGAGACTTTAACTTTTACCAAAGTAATTTTATGATAGAGTACTTGTACTTTTACTCAAGTATCACTTTGAGATACTTTATACAACACTAGTAGAAGAGTTAAAATATGGAAACAAAAGATGTTGTGTCTGGTTAGTTATTGTCGTATTTGGACAGTGTTTTTGATGGTGTACTTTGTAAACACTACTGTGAACCCCAGTTAGACTTAATGAATTTGGGATTTTTGCTGAATGACTGACATCTCTGTCTGGTCAGACTTCCTCCCGTCAACGAGGCGTTTGAGCAGCATCTCTGCTGGTGGTTTTAATCTGCTGTGGGACGAGCGGAGCACCATCACCTGTGGTTATACTGTGGAGTGGTGTATTCTGGGAATCCCTGAGCCCTGTACGCTGCGGTGGATCAGGGTGCCAGAAGGAAACAACACTTTGCTCCTGCCTGCTAGTCCGTCTTGCATTTTATTTTTCATCATTTGAAATCATCTTTGTAATTAAGCTATTAATGTGATGAATCTTTACTCTGTAGAGTTTTTCAAACCAGGTCGCAGGTATTTATTTAATATTTATGGATGCTCAGAACATGGAGACACACTGCTGGAGATACAGACTGGATACTCGCAGGAGCTCAGTGAGTGTTTTTATTAATTATGTTCTGTAAAACATCTTTTTTATGATTACTTGTTACGGCAGATAGGAGCAAATAACAAAAACATAAATAAATAAAATCGAAATGAGCGTGACACGTAAAGTATCTGATGGTTTTCACCATTTTCTCTGGCTTCCTCATCAGATAAGCTTTATTTTTTTCAGAATCTGTGCAAGCGCCAAGTCTGATAGAGTCGGTTCAAACCACGTCTTCATCCGTGACACTGGAGTGGCTTTATGATGAAGAGGATCCAGCTCAGCCGGCCTTCATCACTGGTTACCTGGTTACAGTGCAGAAAGTAGGACCCGGTACATGGCCCAATCTAACAGAAAGTGAGTCCAGAGAAGAGCTTTAAAATGTTTCACTCTGATCTGCCGCTTTTCAAAATAAAAGATATCGTTTTGTTTTTTGGATAGATTTGTTCGACGTGTCGGTGGCGGACCCCCGGCAGAAGTCTGTTACCATCGAGGGTCTGCAGCAGCAACAGGAATACAGCTGCTCCGTGAGTGCTTTGACTAAAGCGGGGCCTGGGTTGCCTGCCAGCATCGCCATCAGGACCAGAACCAACTGTGAGCTTCCATCCATCACAAAAACAGTTTGGATGTTTGAATGTGTCTGAGTATCCACAAATTAAGAAGCGTCACCCTACGAGCTCGACTTGAGCCAGTTGGTTGTCCAAAGCGCTCACTTGGTTTCCTCCTGCAGACTTGTCCCACTTGGCGAAGATCCTCACCCCCGTCTTACTCCTGCTGGGCTGCATGGTTCTCCTGTGGCCACGACGAAAAGTGTGAGTACTGTGACCCTCACGTTTTCCACAACAAGCTGTTTTTTTCTCTATGAGACAGTCTGGAGTTTTGTGTTTCCTGCAGCTTAAAGAACGGTCTGAAGCAGATATTTATGTACCCGGCTGGTATGAATATTAAAACTCCTGAGATTGACAGCTTCCTGTATGAGGTAAGGATGAACCAATGATTAAAATATAAGACACCGACATGATAGCTGCTGAAACAACACTTAGAATCTTGAAATATTTACATTTCTTCAAACATTGCGTTGTGTTGTTTTTTCAAACCAACATTTTTTTTACATGTAGTTAAGTTACAACCTAATAATGCTTGTAAAGGTTAAATCTTGACACCCTCACCACTTCAGCTGAATGTTTTTCAAAACAACATTACTCAATGTTTACAAAAATGCTGATTTTTAGTTCAGCTAGCCTTTTGCTACTTTTAATTGATTGATTGATTGATTGATTGATTGATTGATTATGTCTTTACTGTCATTGAACTTGAGCACAATGAAATTACATTTAAAAATGGAAATGGCCTGAATAGCCACCAACGTTTTGTAGAACACCAGGAGACCACCAAGCCAATCTGTAGAATCCAGTGATCAGAATCCAAATATACTGTATATCCAGCTAGTTGAACAGAGCAGAACAAAGGTCCCACCTTTGACATGTCCTCCCATGGGAAAAAAAAATGTTCCAAAAACGTATTAAGAGAGGAGCTAACCAAATCCATAAAAATAAATCCATAATTTTCAGTTTTGGATGAAAACTTAGAGGAGGCTCTGAGCAGCAAACCAGGGAAAGGTAAGGGAGGGCAGGAGAAAGTGTCTTACTCCTCCGAGAGCACAAAAAACAAACAAAAAATAATTTTAGCATTTAGCTTGCCTTTAGCTATATTTAGCATTTAGCATGCCTTTTGCCCCTTTTAGCATTTAGCTTGCCTTTTGCTACTTGTAGCTTTTAGCCATCATTCTGCTAACTGTAGTTTTTAGCCACCATTTTGCTCATTTTAGTTTTTAGCTACCAATCAATAGCTTTTAGCTAGCTGTTTGATATTTCTAACTACCCTTTTGCTACTTTTCGATGTTAGCTAGCTTTGAGACACTTTTGGCTTTTACTAGTGTTTAGTTTTTAGCCAGTGTTCTGCTTCTTTTGTCTTTATCAGCTCAGTTTCAGCTTCAAGTTATTCAGCACTCCGCGTTCACAATTCATTTTTGCAGAAAAAGCATTCTCTTTAATCCCATGTAATTCTTGTCTGCGAGGCCACTTAAAAGTTTTAAACAAATTAAATTACAAATCTAAATTTTTCGGGGTTTTTGTTTTAGAAAACATTGTTTTTAGAAATGGGATTTTTCCCAATAGTTATCTTTAAACATCGTTTTTCTTTTGTTTACAATACCTCCACAGACGGATCAGAAACTGCAGAATCAGAAAGTGGAAGATTGCATCAGCTGTGACATTGAGATCTTGAACATCAAACCGTTGCTTTGTGAAACCACCTCACTGAGGGATCCTGACTTCACAAACACTCTGTACTCTGCTGGTTCCCAGTTTCCTCCTCCTTCAGTTCCACTGCTAACAAACTACTGTCCACAGTCCACCATGCTGCTCTGCAACAGATCAACCCTGCAGCAGGTGACGGGCGTTTCCAACAGGAGCTACTTAAGCATCGCTGCAAATCCACCTGAGCCAGGAGAGGCCACGTTCAGAGAACTGATCTGCAGCTCTGAGCCTTCTGACTGTCTGCAGGAACAATGTGTGGTCATATGTGGTTATATCTGAGGCCTAAACATAAAACCACTTCATTTATTAAAATGCTGTAAATTGCTAAATTTATTAGATATGTTGTGACACCAGTTTTCGATTTTCTTAAACATTTCATTTAGAAACATAGCAGCTTTCAGATTGCCTCTTATCTCAATGCATAAGCAGTGGGAGTGTGCGTCACAAGAGGAACTCACTCTGAAGAATGGGATAAAAACTGAAGGACTGGAAGACTATCTCCAGGATGGGTGAGGCCAATGAGGTGTGACAGATGCACAAAAACAGCTCCTCTGCTCCACGTGTGTGATGGAAATGGGAATTAATTAATATAAAAAAAAGTTTTTGCTGTGTTCCAAACAAAATAATCAGCCGTCTTCAGTCATCTCACTTCTTATTTGCCACGCATCTCTGCTAGAGACAAGGACAGGTGTGACACAAAACGTCAAACTGAAACTCCGGCTTCATGTCACAACAAGTCCCTCCAAAGTCAGCTGTAATCTTTTGCAATCCTTAGAGCTGACGCTTATCTTCTGGTTCTGGACAGGAAATTATTTGAAAACAAGCCGTTCTCAGAGCACATCCTGTTTAAACCTTCTACCAAACGCTTTGATGAAGGGAACGTCTGCTCTGTCAGTGCTTTGAAATAAGAAAGAAAGGGTGAAAACAATAATCTGCATTACCAAAGTTATGATTTCTTGACTTTCATTAAGTCAGCTGTACTTTTGTCTAAAAACTGCAGCAGATCTGGTCCTGAAAACAAAGACAGGTTAGAACAGAGGAGCCCAAAGTGGGGCCCGCGGGCCAAATTTGGCCTGCCAAGCTTTTTGATTTGGCCCACCAGCAGTTGACATTGTTACTAGGTTGTAACCTGTCATCCTATTAGAAAAAAGTATTTCCACTTTGTCATTCTATCCATTGGCCCACTGACTATATAACGGGCTGTAGTACAGATAGTTTTTGCTCATGGTTCTAATTTTATCTTTGATATCTCAAGATTAAACATGAAATGTGAAATACTAGGGCTGTGCATTGGCAAGAATTTGGCGATACAATACATATCATGACAGAGGGGTCACGATACGATATATCCCGATATATTGCGATTTTTTTGTCCAAAAATGCTATTAAAGAAAAACCTCTTACAGGGAAAAAATGAAAAGCCAAAATTCATTGTCTCAGAAAATTCTAATATTACATAGACATGTTTTTGATACATTTAGCTGTGTTCTGCTTTGCATGTATTTTATTTTTTTTTTGTTTCTTATTTCATCCATGTTTTCAATTATAAGACTAAATTTGACAATAAATAGTTTGAAAATATATTTTTTGCAGCTTTTAGTTTTTAATATTAATTTACAATATGGTCACCCAACACTTAATAGCCTCTACCTCAAGAGGTAGAGGAGCCAAATGGCTGGCTCACTGCTGCCAACTAGTGGTCAGAGGCTGAACTACAACACGAAAAATGAACGGCTGGCAGGAAAGTTGACATTTTAAACCTTAATAAAAAATCGATACAGGGCTTTAGAMTATCGATACAGTATCGGGAAATGAAATATTACGATATTTCAGTGTATCGATATTTTCTTACACCCCTATGAAATACAAGTAAAAAGTGATATTTAGATTAGATTTAACCCCACAAGTAGATTTGCACACTTTATAAGGCCAGAAAAACTCATATTGTATCAATTTATGAAATTTCCCATCAGCCTTTGCTACTTGAGCATATGGCAGACTTTCTCCAAGTGCCCAGACTAAAACAAAAGCAGGGCCGCCACACTGGCTGCTAGCTTAATCGTTRCAAAATAAAGGACTTTACTAAAATAGTATTTGTATTTCATGTATTATATTACTGCATTTGGCCCGCAGCCCCGGATACATTCTCATTTTGGCCCTCTTGAGGAAAATGTTTGGGCGCCCCTGGGTTACAAGTTTGCTGGGAGGCGACACAGTAAGCAGGGTGCCTCAGTGGACTGTGGGACTTTGCGCTTCCTCAGTGAGTTTCTGCATGTGAATGGCAAAAATTTATTTCTGAAGAAACACAAAGACTGATACTAATCTGATCATTTATGAATATCCTCCCCTACAAGTCCAACTCTAACTCAATTCAGTTTATTTATGTAGCACCAAGTCAACAAAGGTCGTCTCAGGGCACTGTACACAAAAATCTATAAATGTAAAGAAGCCAGCAGATTGTATCGAATCCTCACTTCTCCCATCCTGAGCAGCACATCTGTATAAAATGTAAAACAATAATTAAATGCAATGACTCACAGATCTAAAAACCCACAACTGTGCTGCATTTTAATGGGATTTTGAGGTCCGTAAACCACAGTTGTTCTTTACATTTCACACTTTTTTTTTGTATGAGAATTTGGGTTGAACTAAGTCTCAATTTACAGYTGTGTACCTTCTCAAGGTGCACAAAAATAATGAAACTTGTCTTTGGTAGATTATTTCTTTGTTGTAATAATGGCTCTTTTCAATAAGTTTTATATCGTTATAAAGCCTGTTAATTTCCTTTTTAAATTGTGCCACATTTGTAAGGATCATGCATTTGTGGGATGAGCTGTAGAGCAGAGTATGTGGGTTGAACGTGAGAAAAAAAATGCCAAATCCTCTCTGCCAAACAGCGTATTTTGCTGTTATTGAAAAAAATCCCCCGTTGCTGCCAATCAGGAGCCCGCTGCAAGATTTATTACCAAGAAGTGTTACAAGAATTAATCTACCAAACACAAATTTCCTTATTTTTTGTGCTAAGTATATAAAAAATGAAGTCCTGATTCTAATACACTTATTTTCCTGATAAATAAAAATATTTAACGCTGTAGTAAGATAGAAGACATGTCTGCAGCTGCATCCTCTGTGACAAACCAGCAGTTCATAAACCAAAGTGTAACATTTCACAACCAATTCTTCACTCAGTCGTGGCCTTGGGAAAACAGAAGCAGACGTTTTACACAACATCGTATGAAACTGACCTTTGGTGTAAAAGTCTTTCGAGGCCTCATTTTATCAAGTTTGATAATTATAAAGTTTGCAGCCAGAATGATTTTTTTTTTGACATTACAGTGACCCACAGACTGACTCAGTCTTTAGTTTAAGCAGCCATGCAATGCAAAACTAACAGCAATTTAAATGTTAAAAAACAAACAAACAAAAAAAAACATTAGCACCAACTTCCACAGATTTATTTGGGAACGGTGATGTGACCATTGGCTCATCTGTCCAGTCAGAACTCTGTTTCTAACAAGTAAACAAGTTAAATATTAATGGCTGCTAACTTTCCACAGAACACCCCTTTAAAATAAATCTCCCCCTTTAACCACACCATGGTAAATGTTATGTTTAAGTGCACAATGTCACCTCCAACAGTTTCTTGAAAGACATAAACTCCTTCAGAAAACAGTTCCACGAAACCAGAGCCGACCAGCCGGTCTTCATGTTGCCTCTGGCCGTTCATAAATCACTAACAGAGTCACTCGTGCACCGCGCAGATGTGAGCTTTCAGAAACGAAGCAAGCTTCATGGAACCACTAGTCTCCTTCAGATCGGTTTCTAACCTTGAGGAATGACATCAGTTTAGGAATTTTCTTTATGGTTCATTTGTTTAAACTAGATAAAGAAATTTCCCTCTAATAAATTTGTTGTTTAAACTTGCAGCCAAGCTGATCGCAGAGACCTGAGGTCATCGCTTCATCGAATCACGTGTCGACTTCCACTGCTCTGTTTAATTCCAGCTCCAATAATTATTTATGTATAAAAAACTAAGCTGTAACATAATTGATATAAAATTATCATTTAACCCCAAAAGCAGGATGAGTCACTAATATTTTAATAGTTTTCCAGATTCAAGAAATTTAAACAAATGCTTTAAATGTGCCTTTAAAATTTTTAATTTCTGTCCTGTTACACATCAAATAAACATTTAAACATTGAGCTTAATTTGATGGGACTTTCAGATTTGAGAGCAGATTCAAATGATCACAATAAGAGCAATGATACCTCATTTTAGCATCGTACACTTTTCAAACTAAACACAAAAACATGCATTCACAGAACAATCATCTACTTGGTACAAAATATACTAAAATATTTACATATTCAAAAACCGTAAATCGGACGTTCTGACACGTAGCTTATTAGTGACAAGCTGAAGCGTGAGCCAGCTCCTCAAGCAGTAGTGTTGCATCAACAGGAAATGAAAAAAAAAAAGGGAGTACAATCTGACCTGCCACAAACAGTTTCACATCACAAGGCTTCAGGTCAACAGAAACCACAGCTGACGAGTTGCATGTCCATGTCTCAGTCACTTTTGTGGACGTTTTTCTAGGATTTTCCTCAAAGAGAAAAGTCCACTTTCAGACTTCCATCCACATTTTTTACATTCGAAACAGAAGATCGTTTCAGTCTCCTCACACAGCCGTCTTCTGCTTCACTCTTGCTCTCATCTGGCTTTTCTTTCTGAACAGAAACCAGAAAGTTGTCGCATTTTAAGAGTAAATGCAGTAAAAAAAAGAGCTGCAGRACAGCGTGCAGAACCTCTGCAGAGCTGTTTGTGATGAGCTGTGGTGCGAAGTTCAGACGTGTGCAAACACAAACAGATTAAATGATCGCAAAGTTCAACCAAAATATGAAGCTCACAGAAAACCCAAGTTAAAACTTGTTGTTTTTTACCGTCGCGGTGGTGACATCATGCACTTCCAGAGAATAGCGTAGAGTCCGAGCAGAAAGGAAATAAACACAGCTGCTGCAACTGCACCTAAAAGACAAAAATACGCRCTTATCTGCATGTTAAAAGCTTTGCAACACAAACCAGCTGCATGTTGGACCCTCTGCAAGGAACCTTGTTTTTCACAGTTTTAACCACGTTTTCCTCATTTTTACGATTATAGCTGCGACACTTTACATAATTATGCTGCTAAAGTTTATTTCTCCATCGCAGTAATATGATACATGTGTAGTAACTACTTCACTGCGCAAGAAGATAATAAGAGCAGTGTTTTAACAGTCAATAGAGTCACCTTTTCACCACAAACTTTGAAATGTACTTTTTCCACTCAAATTTCCTGTTTAAATTGTATCTTTTTTTACTTCCCTTTCTCTGAAACACCAGCATTCTTCTCTTGAGCCAGAATAAAGCTTTGTGTCTCAACACAAATCAATTATGATGTTGGATTAAAAAAATGGAAATTTTAGATAAATAGGTAATGTGAGATGGCATCAAAAGTATCAAACACAACCTTTTGGTTACAAATGTGTCCAGTCTTRCATAAAAAAAACAGGTTTTTACCCTTAAAAGCAAACAGAAGCATCAAGGGACTCGAGGTTATGCCAAAGTGCAAAACTTCTCCACTTAAAAAAAAAGTTTAACTAACAGCCAAGAGGGAAATCTGCTGCACAGTGGCAGCATAAACATGAACACACCCACCTGCAAAACAACAAATAAGATACTAAAACTGTTTAATAAAAAAAAAAGAACTGATGATTTTTGTTTTTAAAAAATACTTGTCGAAATAAGACATGCAAAAAAAAACATTTATTTTTATTCTTTGAAAAACAAAACACTACAGCAAACTATTTTTATTTGCTGTGTACTTGCTTGTCGTACACCCTTCCTCTCCATAAAAAGTTTAAAGGTGAATTTAAAAAAAAGACAGAGAGCAGAAGATATGCTCACCAGGGATGATCCCACTGCTTCTGGGGTCCTCTGTGCAGGAAGGACACGCAGCAGCTGCAGTGGAAACTTTTAGGAGGAAAAAAAGAAAAGAAGAACCTGAGACACTTCACTAAACAACATTAATCCTACAGTTAGTCTGTCACGTTTAAGGTTTATTATTACAACGAAAGAGGCAGAAATGATAACGATACTTTGATWCAGTGTAATAAAATGTTTAGACGTTCCTGTACTTCTTATCCCACATCAAGTTCTGCAAGTGTTGACATCCTGAAAGCTGAACAATTTGTTATCTGTAGCAATTTTTTTCTTATGTAAACTTGCTCCAAATTGCTGCATGTAAACACAGATTGTCGTGGATTTAAGGTTTGGGCAGGAACCACATCAACATGTCTGAATAAGCCTGTTTTTCAGGCGATGACGTCTGACTTAATTGTTTTGTTTTKTTTATAACCACTGCACTCTCGCATTAGAAGCTGCTTATTTAAAACTGTTATTCCGCCTTAAACCTCTGTAAACAGTACAGGTCTTTAAGTGCGGTGGTTAATAGAGTGAAGTGGACTGGCTGAAGCCCCTGTTCGTTTTGATTCTGGTGGATGTAGTTGAATGTGTTGCAACATTAAAGCCAACCGCCATGTGTGTTTGTTTACTACAGAAACAGCCAAAGTGACTGAGAACAGGTTGAACTTCTACGCCGTTATTTGTTTACCTACACAAACTACAGCCAGCGTCAAGCTTTTCAGTAGTGGTTTGTTTACGTTGAGTGCGGACCCACATTTTCAGAAAAGCATCCAACGGTTCTTGGAAAACAACTGGAGTAATGCACCATTTAATAACGTTCAGGATGACACTTTAATGTTARACTTGTTTATAAAGAGTACCATGAATGTCCAATGAGTATTAATTTTAAGAAAACAGGACTGAAGCTTACCATTCCTCTGCTGAACAGGGTGCAAAAGCTGCTCTGCAAGATTAGGGTCACCCACCTGAAAAATGCAGCAAAATCTTGCTGAGCAGACTGTAAAAYACTGTGAGGATGACAGTTTGTGCAAATGTATATTAGTCAAAGTAATGACTCAGTGAATGACAGAAATCCTGAGTGTTTTTGGAGCAGAAAGCTGCTCGCAGCTGCAGTGAAAACTTACAGGAAGTCCAAACTGTGTGGAAAAATCACAGTAGCGACAGGAGATAAGACAAATATGAAGGAAAAACAAACTCTTAGCTGATCGCCTGTACAAAAACAGTTTGCATTTTATTTAACCTTTAATGGAGCCTCTGGAAGAAAAAAAAACTACTTTTTAAAAGCTTCGAGCTCTTTCTGCGACACTTCAAGCTTGTTTTTGGCTCTTTGTCGCAGAAAGAAATATAAAAACTCATAATAATTTCCTTTTAGCTTCTCACCTCGGAGCTAAAACCTTTACTGGCGAAAACCGAGCTCCTGTTTTCCATCTCTGTCCACATTTCTCCTGCTTCCGACTCAAACTTCATCAGTTTGTTTCTTCTCAGCTGAGCAGTGATTAGCCTCCTTCGTGCTGCGTTCAAGTGCTTTTCCCAAAACTCGGATTTTCCACAAAAACAAAACAAAAACAAACAAACGATATTTTCTCTCTCCTTCAAATTGTGAAGGACTGTATAACCTTTACCTTTTGTGTATTTATAAGAGGCATAGTTTATAATGCATTGTTATAATAGTAATTAGTTTTACTTTGAAGCGGAGTTCGGGAATCTAACTGTATGGAAGTCCATTTTTGCCACCTTGAAATAAAAAAGTAGGTCATCTCATTATTTAATATTGGGTATTAATTAYATGAGAATCATTTGTGAAAGGTGTGAAATATTTGTTCAAAAGTATAACAAGTCACGATTTTGTTTGGTCTGAAGTGATGTCATTAKAAATTCCATACATTTAAAAAGGAATTTCCTCCAGCTTCACAATGATGCTATTCATTATGCAAAGGGATTCCCTAATGCCAAAAAGACAAAAATATTAAATTTCAAAAGAAATAAGGTTGATAAAACAAAAAAAAAAACGTTTTTGAAGATATGGTTTTAAGAAAACTTTGATTTAAATATAGGTAATGAAGATTGTATGTGGTTTGGGATCACTAGTTGTGTTTATGGATTCATTTGTGAATGAATCTCAATTACAGGAAAAAGAAAAAAAAACATTTACTTATTTTACGTTGCAGCCTGTGCTCATTTTGCCAGCACAGACTACAATTATATATTTTAAAATTATGATTTAGCAGTTGATATTTTTTAATCAAACTGGTGGATGTGGGCTTCCATAAAGCTGGGTGTTTGTCCTAACAATGAAAGTTTTATCAGTGTGCATTGCCAATGCAATGCACACTATTGTGATTCGTTTCCCATCCAAGTCATCTCAAATTTGCCATGCTTTTCCTCCTGCATACTTTGTCCTAGAGCTGCCATTGTAATTTATATCTGTAAAGTTCTTGTGCCAAATGATGGCTATGCCTTTTGGTGCCTGTAAAAATTACAGTTTATGAAATATTATTGTTTAATAAATTATATTGGCAGTCAATGGAGCCTTGTATTGGTCCAATACTTGCCCATGCTGTACTCAACTTGGTACTGCACCATAGTTTAATATTTCAACTCAGTAGTTCAGTGTTTACAATACTAATATGATTGTATTTTGATGTTTTACTATAATATATTGTCCTAATGTTGCTTTATTGTTGTAATATTTTTCAATTTAGTGACAACCRTTACATTGTCAATGTGGCCACTTTCTGCACACATACAAACCAAACCCTGGCCTCGTTCTCTACCACAGCTCTAATGGTCTCATGGTTAGTGCCATGGGCTTTCATGTGGGAGWTATGGGTTTGAAACCCAGATACAGCAACTTTAACAGAAAATCTCTTCAAACTTCATATTGTCACACAATTACCCTTATTACAAACACCWGCTSACGTGACAGGCACAAATTGGTATAGAAAACACATTTGAACTTGGTCACATTTCATTCTGCAAGTCCACTGCTGCAGGCAATGCCATGCTGCAATAACATGCTACAAGGCAATGCACACTTGTTTTTACATCGTAAAAACCCATGTCTAGTTTGTAATAAATGTCCTTGAAAACTGTCTTATTTGCCAGGTTCTTTGGCGGCATGTTTCATTTTATTTCTATTTTGTATTCAGGCGCTGCCCCAAATAATTACCAGAGCAGTATACTGTAGTATCATCAGCAAACAAAGTAAATGTTAATAACTTAGATACATTGCAAATATTTATGCAAAGTAAAAGAAAAAGTTTAGGACCCAGCACGGTTTTATTTCTCAAACCTAATAAGGAAGCAGCAGCCTCACCATCATGCATAACCCCAAATGGTCACACATATTTATGTTGATGGTGTTGAAGATTGAGTGCTGACTTCCTGCTCCTTTGTCTATAAATACATCCCTTTCAGACACAAAAAATAAAAACATGGCACACCAGAATGGGTTATCCTGTTTTAGTGAATTCACTTTTTTTGTGAATAAATCTGTTGAAAAATAGTTTTATTCCCAATTAAATCTATTTAGAAACACACRATTGAATGAGTTAAACTATTTAATGCTTACTACCAGTTACTGAGATCAGACCTGCAAATTGCTACAATTTCAAAAACAATTGACAGGTGATCCAAGATCCAAACATCTGAAAAACAACCCAGGACAAAATGTATGTTGGAGTTAGTTAAAAAGAAAAGAAGATACAAAGTTTAATTAACTGTTCTTTATGAGAAACATTGTTTTYCTTCTTTAGTTGAAAGAAACACACACCGACAGGCTGCAGATATTGCACCAACGTTTACACAGTAAAAAGCAGAGAGCACGAACAGTCTTCTCAACATACACACAGGCACTCAGTATCAACACAGCCTGCAGCTGGAGGCTGTATCAGCAGTACACACACACACACACAAACACACGCATCAGAAAGAGCAGAGAAACATCTAAAATGCACAACCAAAGGCATCGCTTCATCTTAGAATCATCAGAAAMGTCTACAAATCAGTTTCTACCCAGTCGGATATAAATGGGAAGCAAACAATGCTCGTTACGGAGGAGAAAGTGTCGACTGTGGAGTTACTTTAAGAGACGTGCATATTACACCCATTTTAAGAAAAACCTTACTGGCACACGATAAGAGGCCAGAAGCAGCAGCACCCGAACATCACAGAATCACCTTTCGTCATGAAGAAAAGGTGGTAAATGATGAGGTGAAGCTGGGATCTAGAGGTGCAGAACAAACTGAGAAAAGCAACACCCTGTTTTTTTAAATGTTGGTATCAGATGGTTAAAGTCATGAGATTAAATTAAACCAGGAGGCAGATTTCTAAACATTTTACAACAAAGTTTCCACTTCTGAACAGATTTTCACACCTCATCCAAAACAGGAATGTTGAAGAGTTAATTTAACATTATCAGACAAAAAATAAAAAATAAAAAAGGGGGCAGGTACAACTAAATACAGTAAAGCGCAAATGTTTTAAAAGTTATTGTAAAATTCAGGGAAATTTGGATATTTAGTGTAACCAGTTGCAGTTTTGTTTCATTTACCGTAGTACACTGAGCTCAACACTGAGGCCCATTAGAACCGTGACGTAAATAAACAGATCCACCTAGTGGGCATACAAGGTCACACCAACAGGAAAGCCAGCTCTGAAAGGTTATTTTTGCTGCACGACGAGAACACACAAAGGTTGTGAGATTGTCAGAGTTGCCTCAGAGCAAAAAAAAAGCACTAGTGTGGTTAATACTCTTCCAATCATTTTAAGAGATCAAGCTATTATGTTTCGGTTTTCAAGACGTTTTGACGACACATCACCAGTACACAACGTCACATTATAATGTCCTCAGCTTGTAATATTCACCACACTGATGGTCACCTTCTGAAAGGTAAAGAAAGATTTAATATGGTTATATTTTCCCCTGATCGAACCCCCCGTCACTCCTTCAGCCCCCATCAGTCACGGTTTAAAAGTCACGCTCAAACTGGCCACCCCGTCCCGCTCTTCCACCCCGGCGCCCCCGCCTCGATTTAAACAGCGTCCCTGTAGAGAGCTGACGGCTGGTGAATGATGGGGGGTTGCAGGAAAAGCAGAAAGGCAGAGAGTTGTGCCCACGTGGACGAGGCAGCGGCATCACATGATTTCACAGCATGAGTTCTGTTTCCGTGCCTGTTAACAGAGAGAGCACACGTGTAAAGAGCGACAGCTGACAGTCGCACTGAGGAAAGTCAACCAGACGGGTTAATGGTGCTTACGGTTTTGTAGAAGGTTTTGGACTGGTTTCCCAGATGCTCCGACTTTGCCACAAGATCRTCCAGTTTCTCCCCTCTTTCCAATAGACTTTCCATAGTGTTGTGCTAAGGAAGGTAAACATTTCTTAAAGGGGCAATATCATGTAAAATCAACTTTTTTKAGTTTTATATCATGTTATAATGTTATACTCTCATAAAAAAAACATGACCAAAGCCTTTCTCTGACTCATTGATGCATGTTTGAGAAATCCTGCAGCGTTTTTAGGGAGCCATGCTGAGGAGCAAAACGCAGGTGGGGACCAGAAATGTCTTTTGGGACCAGAAACTCCCCTGGGACGTGTCTTTAAGCTGAACTTCCTCATGGCATGTTATGTTACCTGGTTCCACTAACTGAGTTGAGTAAATTCAAAGCAACATACTCATGTTCTTTGGTTAAAAAACTGGTATATTGCTTTTAATTTACTCAACTCAGTTAAGTGGAACCAGGTAACATAACATAGTTAAGTAAATCAAACATTTCATTTGAGCTTCCCCCTCCTCTGCGCCATCCAACCCGTCTGCTGACTGATGCACCACGTCAGCCTTTAGTCATTTGTTTGTACTTCAAACAAATATAGCTCTGTGAGGAGTTTTGTAGAGGTGAGCTGCCATTTATTTTGAATATTTTTTCCCCTTTTTTTGGGGGTAATTAGGAAGGTAAGAGCCTGTATTTTATTACCATTTCATTTTGATTAGGTAAGAGGTAAAAACTTAGATTCGTTTTTGTTTGTTATTTTGGCCTTTGGCTCACCCTGAAGTGAAGACACTCCAGTTTTGTATATACACAACACTTTTATTCTTTTCATCAAACAGTTTCCCAGTGGCTCTTTTCTTTTTCTTTTTTTTATTTTGTTGAACGTGCAGAGGTTGGGAGTTTTTCCACATTTTGTTTTGTCCTGGTTGTTCCTAGACGGGTCGTAACATTTGTCTCTCTTCCAGAAGAAAATACACCTGGACCAGTTATTTGTGTCTGTGTCTTTTTCCTGACCCCCAAACCGAGCCAGACGGCTGCCTGTCCTGAGCCTGGTTCTTTAGTCGTGACTATTTTAATAGTCGATTAGTCGTTGASTAGTCGACTAATCATGGCAGCCCTWGTTACAACCATTAAAGAGTGTGGAAGAGCAGCACCACATTTCACCAACCTATTTATGTAATTTAACCCTTCCTTTACATCTTAACAAAAAAATATACCAGATCCAGAACTAAACACATTTCAAAGTTTTATTGGAAGAATAAAAGCTCTAAGAAGCTGATGACAAGTTTAAAAAAATTTTATCAAATTATCTACATTTTTTATGTTCCAGAAATAAAGATTGTTACTTGAATTCTGTTTTGGGTRAATATTTTACTGTTCATTGAGATTATAGTTTTGAGTTATGTTTGAGTTTTTAGTTAAATGAGTTACAACAACACCTAATTTCCCTCTGGGATCAATAAAGTATTTTTGAATTGAATTGAATTAAACATCTCTTTAGAGGCTGACTGTAAAAGTGGGAGCATCATGGATGCAGGACTCCTACGACTGGAGTCCCCTCAGAGGACATGCTTCAGACAATAAACTAAATCAGCATGTACAGAGAGTCATTATCTACATTGTGCACTATAAATTAAATCTGTAGACAATATATTTCTCAACAGCATTATGCTAAAAACGGACTTTAAGCCTCAGATCCAATCTTGTATGGTACATTTACAGTGCATCATCTCAATTTAGTCCTGGGATTTGCTTTCTACATTTAATATGAACGTAGCATTAAAATGCTAAACCTGATAGAGTTTTAAACCATCTTTTGAACTAAGTAAAATGTCAATTTTATTAAAATATTAGAAGGTAGTTTACCAGAATGATCTTTGTTTCATCCAGCTCCGCCTGCACTTTGGTCATTGCATCTGCTTCTCTGGGGTTCTGAGAAAAAAACATTAAATATAACAAACATCCATCAAACACAGCGTTATTAATTCTGACTGTATTAGCATGCAACTTGAATAGCCACAATATAATTACAAGACTCCATCTTCATGCTGGCTCCAAAGCATACCTGAGCTCTATCTCATAAATTATATTAAATTATAAAAGGAAAACATCAAATATGACTCACAGACGAAGCGGTGCTGTCTTTTTAGCATTTTGAACATAAAATAAAAGCCAACCAAAAACAAACCGACCTGGTATTTTGAAAGATGAATATCCAATGCTTTGTAGTTTACAGTTTCAGGATTAGCAGTGGGCCAGTCGATGCTGTCTACTTGTCTGGAAAACTCCTCCAACACCTACAAAACAAAATACAGTCTTAAACAAAAATATTAATGACTCAGAGAAAGCTCCTACGACAAGTTACGTTTTTATACCAACCTTGTCGAGCAACGTGAAACAGACCCTCTGTGGGTAATCATTGTCTGCAATCACCACACCACTCAGGTTGTCGTTTCTCACATACACGTGGCACAGATACTCTGCAGAAATGTTTAAATCACAAGTTCAAATCCACCTCATGCCACACAACAAATCAGTTTGATAATCAGGAGCTTCTTAGCTGAGGCAGTAAAATCGGTTGCAAATCAAAACAAGGTAAGGGAAACTGTAAACATTTATGTCGAACTATATTTGCCCAGTCCCACCTTGTTCTTTGACAGAGGCACAGGTTCCTTGAGATGTTCTCTCGACAATCAAGGCACTGGTAAAAGTCATGAATTCTTGAACACTAAATACACAAAAATAATATAATTACTCCTGTGAAACATTAAAAAAGGTTAACAGATATACATGTGGCTGCGGGTATGCAGTTGACAAAGACTTATTATACTTTAAAAAAGGAACTGTAACAAGTCTTTCTTGGATAAATGAATGATTTAAAGGCACCTGGAGCGCTGGAAGAAGTTGAAGGATGACAGATCATAGGCCGCTTTCAGGAGGTTGGCTTTGGTGGATCCTTTATAGATGACGCTGAGGCTGTACAGCTTCATGATGCCGTCGGGTCTGGTCTGGTTCGTAGGCTACAGTGGACACGGTGGTCTAATCATGACAAGCAGAATCACATGAGAGTATTATCTATTAGCCAACTCAGCTCAGTTAGCGTAGCTGCTGAACTATTGGCTTAAAAGTGAAAAGTAGCAGGTTATCTGTTGCCTGTCACACTCAAAGTCAGGCGACACTCGACTTTGTTACCGAAATTTAACTTGATAAACTGATGACAAAGAAAACACGAATGAATTTAAATACGTTTCTTGACTAAGTTAACAGCTAGCCACAGATGCTATATTTTTGTTCGCCGGGGGGGAGGCCCCTGATGAGCTAACTTACCAGACAAAACCAGCAGCAAACCACCCGATTTACGCTAAAACAACAAAACAACCCGACAAAACAAATCACAGAATAATTGTAGAGTTTTCTGAACAGTTAAAATTGGGCTTCAGTACACAGTGACCACGTCAAAACCCTTCCCTAAGATAGTTGACGCGGTGGAAACAAACGCCTCGCCTTTCTTCTTCTACGACACTTTACGACAGTTTGCGGCCCTCTTTGAATGCTTTACCGCCCTCTCCTGGTGTTGACGTTCCCCATGTTCTGGTGAGTCGGACACGATGCTTTCTTGCCTAAAGAACTAATTAAGAAACTGGACACCTTTCCTAATTTATTTTTCCTTTTTCCTGTTAAGTGTTCAGCAATAACAATTCAAGTTGCTGCTTTTCTTAGCTTTAACTGTACTAAATTACAGAAAATTCTTAGATGTATTTAGAATAGAATAGGCACTTTAATGTATCATAGGAAACATTTGGCAGGGGTGCCACCAAAGAGGGGCCAGGGCCTTCCTTGAAATAAAAGGGTGGCCCCCACCCCCACCCCCCATGGTCTTGCTGCAGACAGTGAGCTGTTGTTGGGTGTGCATATGTGCATAAACAAAAAGCAATTGTTGCTTTTTTWAAACAATTACTACATATTTTACATTCATACTTCCTGCTGTTTTAGATCAACAGAAAATTAGTTAGAGCAAAGTTGTATTTGTTTTGTTTTTAATTTAATATAAGATTGCATTATTGTCATTATAACWAATCTAATTAACATTCTATTTATATAATCTAATGGTAATGAAACACGTCATTCCTACAGGTTTTGTTAAGCAAAAACACAGACTTGTCGATTGATTTTTGCTCTGGCAATCTTGCTCCATTTAACAATTTCCTGCTGGCCACTTAACCCAGGGTAAGTAAGTGTTTTCCATGTCAGAAGTGTTGCCTGTCGATGATTTCCCAGGTAACCTAAAATGGGAACCGCTGAAGCTTCAGGGGCATCTGTTGGATCAGCTACACCAAGAGACAAAAGGATATGTCTTTCTCGGAACAGCTTCCAGTTGTGTTAGGGTACTGAAGCGACGTCGTCATCGAGGATTTCAGCCACAAACAGAAAGGTTGACTCATTTATTCCAATTTTCTTTAAACATGTAGTCAGTGCTTTGGATTTATTTTTATTTTTTACCATATTTGTTTCTTTTTTTGTTGCTTCCTGTGGTGGTTCAAAATGTAGAAAATCAAATTACATCGCTCCAGCAATGAAGACAAACCCACTATTTTGGTAACAAAGCTGTGCACAAGAATGAAAATGTAACTTTTTTTATTCGTCGCTTTGATTTCTGGACACGTTTTTTTCTAGAATGATGCTTGGACTCTTTTTCCACAAAATGTGATCAAGAACAAAGACATTTGTTTTGATATTTTTTTGCACCTCATATTTGCACGAATGAAGAAAACCCATTAAGCCATTTATATTGTCCAGACTTTTGGATGATTTCCTTCCACTGTGTACAAGCCAGGCCTGAAAAAACCTGCAGAAATATAAATGTGTTTACAGAGCACTATGTAAATCAAATGCAGCGAAATTAGGCCTAATTGGTCTAATATTTCATCGAAGGACAAAACATTTTTTGAACATCGTGAAGCTAAGCAGCATTAGAGCAGAAAGGAGAGGAACTACAAACGTTTGGTGCAGATCATCAATGATCTGCAGGACCCAGGACTTTACCCTCACTGTCAAAGAATGGATAAGGTAACAGTCTATCTGTCTGTCTGTCTCAGCAAGAAAATAAATAAATCAGATGATCACAAGTCAAATGAAGCAAACCAGTTAGATTTTTACATTTGAGATGAAAAACAAATCATCCCAAAACAGAAATGAAATTGGATGCATCAAAAAGACCCCGTTTTGACTTCATGCCAGCATTTAAAAGAAGACCACCAAACCTTATCTGAATATGTGATAGAACAGAAATTTCCCTCTGAACAAACCTACATAATTAAATACAAGAAGCCTACAAATGTTTTTGTTTTCTCCACTGAATGTCAAAGTTGCTCCGTTTTTGAGGTTTACTTTGTCAGGGACAGCTGGGGATGCATCAGCCCGCTCTCTGTGCAAACAGCACAGCAGGTTAAATTAACTGGATTAACTGGAGCTATCGACTGGCCCTTGGCAGACATTCCACTTTCAGTAACAAGTTGCAACACAAACCAGGGTTATCTTCTGCTTTACTATATTCTTCTATTTCAAGTGTGTTTACTCAACCGATCAACAGCTTAATCCAGTCAGCAAATGAAAATACAGATATCAAACTTTTCAACTTCAGATGCACAAAGTAACGGTGGCAGAGGCTTGTGACCCCAGATACGACCTGTTTCCGTGTAAACTTTTTAATCTAATAAAAAACCACAATGACAATACAGCCTTAACACTAACAGCAATGATACTTTAAAAAATTTGGTTTTTGCATTTATTCTTGTAGAATAAAAGACAAAAGGAAAAGCTTTAATAAATCCTTAACTTTATATGTTTTTTAAAAAATTATATAAAAAGCCTGTATTGAAATTCATTAATGAAAAAAATGCTTAACTGGATATTAAAAAATCAATTTAAGTTTATGTTGCTTTACTTTATTC